CCAGCCTTCCAATTCACCTTTTCAACGTCCTTGCCCAAGACCGCCTGCTGCTTATCCTTTTTGCGGACCGGGCTCTGGCGCGAGCGGAGGCAGCAAAAGCAGCAAAGCAGCACGCAGGCCCCTGACGTAACCATCTGCTTTACCCACTTTGTCCACTTTGCCTAGTGCATTAGTGCATCTCTGTACATGCATCCAGTACAGACGAACGGCATCGTACGCATCAGAAAGCGGACTGCCAACTCGTTGTTCATGCACAATGAGATGACGATCCACCTGTCCAGCCCCGACGACCGCATGGTAGCAAATGGACCGCAATCGTCAGCCGTTGCACGCGCTACTGCCGCACTTTGGCTGGCCAGCCTGAGCCGGTGTGAAAGACCGTACCTGGGCGACGAGGGAACGTCCTGCTAAACTCTAGATTTCCGCGACCGTTGCTCGCCAACGCATCCTCTAACTGGGTCCTGGCTCCTGGCTCCTCGCAAGAGAGCCGCAACAAAAAGACCCGCAATTCCAGATGCTCAATTGCCCCCGTGTCTTACTGGTGGGCGTATTGCGCGCGCTTGGATAGCCGCTTCGTTGCTGCAATATATTATACCCTCCCACGGTGGGATCCAGATGCTCCCCTCTCCATCCCTGCTTCATCGACTGCAAGCCACCTTCTCGCCTCGCTCTCTGCACTTCTATAGTTCCTTGTCTCCTTTTCTTCTGTTGATCTCTACTCTCTACTCTCTGCTCTCTGCTGGAACAATCCTGGAACATTGGCTTGTCGTCACATTGAAAAACTACCTAGCTGCTACGCCCAAAAAAAAATCCGAATTCGCCTCCATCACCGTTACTTGCACGCACACTTGATCCACACACATACACATACATATACTCACCGACCCTCGCTGCCGCTCTCTAAACATTGATGTCTATTGCTACACTGCTTTGAATAGCAGCTGTTCATACATACCTTCATCTGCCACCTACACCCTTTCCGTTCCAACAGTTTCTCGTCAACCGCCACACCATGTTCTATATCCAGTACCTGTCAGGTAGGCAGTCTTTGTCCCCCTCTTCTGAGTCTCACCATTAACAATTCCATCACAGGGCTCTGTGCGAGGAGGAACTGGCCAGATCCTCTTTTTCAGACCTACCGCACACGCTACGGCTATGGCTCCACCGTTAGGGTCAACAACCGAGAATACTCGACCGACGTCGACTATGAAAGCGAGGCGTTGGCAAAGAATGCGGCCGCAACTCGGGCCTACATGATTTGCCGTAATTTCTCAGTCAACGACGGCATGTTCCCAGCCCAGCGTCCCGGACAGGGCGCCCAAGGCCTGCCTACACCAATTGGCAGTGGTCGCCGCAATACTGGCTCGTCCAACGACTACGACAGTGCTAGTACCTCAAGCGGAGATACCAGCCCGAGGAACTCGGATTATGGGCTCGATGCCACCGCCGCGGTGGGGCGTCGACCGAGCAAGGCTTCTGTATCGTCTTCGACCTGCTCCTGTGGTCGTGGACTAGTCCTCGCATATGAAAGGTGCAGCGGCTGCCTCCGGGACTGCGGCTATTGATGTGAACACAGCACTATTTCTGGAATCTCGCATAAACCCCCTCCTCTTGAACGGCAACGAAGGTTTCGGCAATTGAACAAAAAGGACCTAAACGCCGCTAACGGCCTCTCCCCCATGTGCATCTTCACCCCGAAACAATGACATCTAAGCCACGATCAAGATATGGATGGAAACAACACAGAAATACCCACGAAGAGGTGGCAGGATCTATCCATTTTGCTCAGACATGTCCTCTACACGGAGCTGTTCTACTTCCTTCACGCCTCTCCTTGTCTTTCTTCACCAACCCACCGTCCCGGACGGCTGCATAGCGACGGATTGCAAGCGTTTTAGCGATTTTCTTTCACGGGGTGGGAGCTTTTTTTCTCATTTTCTTTCCATCAAGCGCGCTACTAGCGACTTTTTTTCATGTTTCTCCTTTTCCATACTACGGAACCTTTTACGACGAATATGAACGACTGAAAAGAAAGATTTACGAAGAATGGCTACACGGCCAGATTTAACGACACCGATTTTACGACCCTTGAATGAAGAATGAAAAAGAAAAGAAAAGATCATGGCCGAAATGGCTGCTTGAAAAATTGCTGTGTCTTTGGGGCTTACCTTGCGTTTGCGATAATGTCGAATCCATTTTACAGTAGTGTGATTGACCCAAAAGACGGCGATTCTAAGTTCCTATTTTTGAACAGTTTGTGACCTGAATAGGAGTCGACGCGCTACTTTTCAGGGATATTGCGTTGCTGCTAGTTGACTGCGTAACCTATCGTAGGCTGGGAATTGGCTACTTACCTACGGCCAAAGATGAATGAACAAATTTGCACTTTGTCTGTCCTTGTTCCTCGTGCATTTTATTGGGGGAACACCTCGCAGTGAGAAACGAGAAGGACTCTGTGATGACGAAAACGCCATGTTCACACTGGTTAAACCTAGACCGAGAAAGCACACCGCAACCCGACCACTGCGTTGCGTAGTCAATATATGAATGAACAAATTTGCACTTTGTCTGTCCTTGTTCCTCGTGCATTTTATTGGGGGAACACCTCGCAGTGAGAAACGAGAAGGACTCTGTGATGACGAAAACGCCATGTTCACACTGGTTAAACCTAGACCGAGAAAGCACACCGCAACCCGACCACTGCGTTGCGTAGTCAATATATCAATAGGTGACATGCAACTTGGCCTGTCCTCTGCGTCTGGAGGAAACGATCCGGTAAAAGCAATACATCGGCTTCTAACAAACGCATTTAATACATTGAAAACGTACCGTAATCCTTCTTCCTAGCGTGGCTATGTGGGCGATGGAGTGTAAATACAGATGGTCCTAGACGAAGGACCTCTGGTTGATGGTAAGTATCTGGTGTAGATGGGGTTAGTCGTTGAGGGTATTATCGGGTAGTATATGAAGTCGTATACGTCAAAAACATAAGCCATGCAATTCGCCCACCATCCCTCTGCAGCGGCCTATACGCTTACACGCGCCAACCTTCTGGTCATCTTCATTTACGGTACCGTAGATGGAGGTGGTGACATACGACGTGGGATCACAGTGGGGAGATATTTCCACTCCGTTTGGAGCAGGAGCAGACGCTGAGCAAAAGTAGAAGCACAAGCACAAGCACAAGCACAAGCACAACCATTGTAGACCAGTTATCCCACCATACATCCAGCCTCACAGTCAGTATATCCTCAGCTGCGAAAGTACGAATCCCCATGCCATGCGGTCCCTCACCCAACGCACAAACTGGTTCTGTATCACAGTGCCCAAGCCGTGGCTAGCAGGGTTAGAGAGTGGTTACTTCAGCGCTGGTTGTCACAGTCGCTGCGACACTGGAACCCATCGCAGCTAGCAGATGTTTGACGGGCTGGTAGATTCAATCTGCCTTTCCATCTGCCACTGAAACATGTCACTCCAAACCAGCATACAAACTCCCAGTACCAAATGCCAGTACCGCGCAACACGTGACTCACCAACAAATCTTCACACCATCCCCAACCATCCCCAACCCGCCAAAAACCGCAAACACGACATCACCAAAAACACCAAATAGACATTTCAAACCAATGTCAATGAATTCATCACTCGATTAGATAATACATCTATGTAACGATAGGCTAGTAAAACCCAACAGCAACCAAAAAACCGCAGCATTTGCCGAATTTTCTTCGCAGCAGCACGTCTATTTGCCAGACAATGTGAAAAACAAACAATAAGATATTATGCATAAGATGGGTAACGATGCGCTTGGATATTACCTCTATAAGAGAGAGGGGAAAGATACGAGGGGTTGCGGGGAAAATTCGGCGCGCAGGTTGGTTGGATCCGGGGGGGCTCTTTTCATAAATGCCATAAAAGGGGGATGGGTATTTATTTTTTCTTCTTTTCTTTTCTTTTCTTTTCATTCAAGTGTTCCTTTCACACCTTCTCTGAACTCTCTTGACGGGGTGGAGTTTGTCCACCAGTGATGGAGCGGTATTGTCTCGCGGGCTCAATCTCCTTGTCTCCGGTCTGGGCGTCGTCGGGGGAAGGACGGGAGGGTTCGGGTTGTGGGGCGACGACTGCGGACTTGGAGTCGGTCTTCTTTGCCTTTTTGAAGTCGCCCTTTGGTACGCGGATGAGCCAGTAGAGAAAGAGTGCCATGAAGATGTTGAAGATGACGTAGCCCCAGAGGATACCAAAGTTGCGCCATGCCTCACTGTACTTTGACGTGATGTTTTCGAGGAACTGATTAGTGTCGCCAATGGCGCAGTATTCGCAGCCGGCCGAGGACATGGGGTTGTTGATGTAGCCACCCTTGCGGTCTATATAGTCGGCTATGTATTGTCCGCACGTCTGGTTCGTCGGAGGCTCAAAGCGGACGTATTCATTGTCCGCACATACGACGACGTTGTTGGCTAGACCGACGGACAACATGCCAGACACGAGGTAAGTAAAGGGTGAGACGCGGTACATGAAGATCCAGAAGCCGGGGAATTGTCCAGGCTGGGCGAGGACACCACAGAAGATGAGACACATGGCGAACATCAAGTTGGCAATGTTACCACCCGTCTCCGAGGTTTCGACACCGGCAATGACCATGTGGGTAAAGGTCGAGGTGAACATCATGAACATCCAGACGAAGAGGAAGGCCATGAAACCACGGAGATTGACCTCGTCGGTAGGCTCGGCGTTGCGGTAGAGACCAATGGGGTAGTACCAGCAGAAGAACATGAGTACACCCATGAGTGAGTTCCAGGGAAGTTCGACAATGATGTTGGAAAGCATAAAGCCCTTCCACGAGTATGTCTTGCTTGGGCGTTCACGTACTTCGTAGAGGGATCGCTGCGTGACAAAGTGAGGCATGATTTGCTGGTTCAATTGACCGAAGATGGTCAGCAACATGAAGATACCGAACATTTGGTTTTGGAGACCGGTCTGGGTGTTTGGCATCATGTAGAGCGAGAAACCGATGAACAAGGCCGACAGGACACAGAGCATCGTCTTCGAGTAGATGTACGATGGTGTGCGCCAGTATTGTTGAAAGACACGGAGGGTAGTCTCACGGAGCTGAGTCATGAAGGGCGCAGCGAACTCGCGATAAGCCGCTTTGTCCTCTCGTCGCTGCGCAGACGCAGTACGCTCAAGCTGATTAGCACGAGAGCGCTCGTATTGCAGCTCATCGAGATGACGCTGAACCTCGGCGTACTCTGGGGAACTACGCCATGTCTTGGGCCAGTCGATGTCAGAGTGGGATCCAGGAGCCGCGCCAATGACCTCCAACATCCATTCGGCTGGGTTAGCTTCAGGAGGGCAGGGATGAGCACCGTTGCGAACGAAGTAGTCGACAAGAATCCGTGAATTTTGACCGACATCGCCGTAGTAGACTGTGCGTCCACCACGCGCAAGGAACAGGAGACGATCGAAGCGCTGGAACAACATGGCACTGGGCTGATGGATGGTGCAAAGAATTGCCTGTCCGTTCTTCTTCAACTTGTCGAGGAGATCGAGAATAGCCCAGGATGTTTGAGAGTCGAGACCAGAGGTAGGTTCATCCAGGAACAACAAGAGAGCGGGCTTAGCAGCCAGTTCTACACCAATTGTGAGACGCTTGCGCTGCTCAACGTTGAGACCTTCACCGGGCACACCGACAACGGCATCAGCGTACTCAGACATGTCCAGAAGCTTGATGACCTCGTCGACATATTTGATCTTTTCTTGACGTGAAACGTGAGCTGGTTGACGAAGAATAGCGGAGAAGGTGAGCGCTTCGCGAACAGTGGCCGTGGCGAGATGGAGATCCTGTTGTTGCGCATAACCTTGAAAGAACAATTAGCATCTTGCACCATAAAGGGAGCAGGCGTGCACTTACCGGTCTTGCGTTGGAAAGACTCGTCGCGGGGGTTGCCATCAACCAACATTTCACCAGAGATAACACCCATTGTTGTACGCGTAGCCAGCACATCCAATAGTGTAGTCTTACCAGCACCGGATACACCCATGAGCGCAGTCAGAGTTCCAGGCTTGACCCAACCATCGACATGGTCAAGAATGCGGCGATCCTCATTCTTGATCTTGATATCGTAGCAGACGTTCCTCCACTGGAAGACTGCGGTTTGACGTTCGATAATGCTAGCAATGTTGTCCGAGTTGTCCTGCTGGACAGTAACGCTGCGGCCAGCGGGAGAGGATTCCACGTCATCGGTAGAGGAGTTCTTAGCGGCAGCGAATTGGTGACCACGACGAAAGAGCAAAACTTCACCCTTGGACTTCTTGGCTGAGATGAATTCGGTAGCGGCCAAATGTATCGCCATGAAAATGATCAAAAAGGCCCACATGATACCGTAGTTGCGCCACTTGTTCGAAGCCTTGTAGTCAAAAGATGATCTGATGTAGTCGGTTCCAGAAACGAAGGGCTGCCCGGTGACAGAGCCGACAGCCGAACAGGCGTGAAGGAGACCGGAAGCGTTCTCGTAGCCTAAACCGGAGGGTACGTACTGGTCACATTCGAACTGCCTGTCGTGGAACTCGTTGACCATGAGGGCTTCGAATCCATACGCGACGGGGTTGACACGACGCATCCATTTTGACCAGCCCAACATGTACGTAGGAGGAACCGTGAAACCTGTATACATGACGAGACCGAGGATCAAGATAGCAGCGGGTGCAAGCGCCTGTTCTAGGGTCCGGGTCATAGAGGCAATCGATCGGAACAACATGGACATGGTTAATGTCAATGTGAGAGAGACGAGGATGAAGAAGAAGAAGTTGCCGGGCTCGCGCCTGAGGTTCGACATAAAGTATAAAATGAGGTTAAACGTGATCGCGTTGACAACTTTGTAAGGTACATCGGTAATCATACTAGCCCAGGCTTCGGCAGAGGGATGGTAGAGTGCGTAACGGGCGTGCTTTTCAACAATCGGACGTTGGGCGTAAAGACTCAAGATCTCGAGGGCGGAACTGAAGGCGGACAGAAGGATGGCGTAGAAGAGCAGAGCAGAGCGTGAATAGAAACTGCCAGTCGTTGGTCCGAGGTTGTAGAAGACAGACGAGACGACGAGAGCTGCGACGGAATTGGCCGAAAGTTGCGTGAGAGTGATGCCGGGAGTGGCCTTCAGGCGTACGAAGCCTCGCCATAGACAAAGATTAACTAGCTGAATGTACGAAAGGGTGAAGGGCGACTTTTCACTGAGACTCTTGGCCTTCTGCATGTCTCGAGACTCTTTGAATGCTTGAGCAGCTTCGCCACCAATGGGGTATCGCTGGTCATAAGCCTCAATCTGCTGCAACAATGCCGCGCGTTCGGGCGAGTTCAACCACCTCTCAGCGAACTCGTCAGGAGTGCGAGGGACTCTGTTCTCCCAACCAGGCCGTACCACGCGCTCCAACGCACTCGTCATAGAAGTCAAGAAATCTGCGTCGGTCTGACGGTCGGGGCACACGAAACCCATGTTGACGAAGTATTGTTTAGCTTCCGTGGTCTTTCCGAAATATATCTGACGGCCTTCGTAGAGGACGAGAGCTTTGTCAAACAAATCATAGGCAGCCTGGGGTGCCTGGTAGATGGCGACACAAGCGGTAGTTCCCATGATCTCCGTCTCCATGCGAAGAGTCTTGACGAATTCGACGGCGTTGGCAGAGTCCAGACCACGAGTGGAGTTGTCCCAAGCCTGGAGAGGCGCGCGACTGAGGGAAGCCTCGGCAATGGTTACTCGCTTTCGCTCACCTCCAGACACTCCGCGAATGAAATCATTTCCGACCTTTGTGTTGATAGTATGGGAGATACCGTAAAGAGCCATGATGACATCGCGCTGATGTTGAGCATATTGCTTGACACTGACGCCACCGGGAATGTTGCGAGGACGTCGAGCCTGGGCGGCGAAGCTTAGTGTGTCACCGACAGTTATTGTTGGAAAATGCACGTCGACTTCTGCGGTGTAAATGGCTTCACCACGGTAGTTCTTGTTCATCAGCTCGGCATCGACACCCTGGTAATTGAGGTGAGACGCTGAGTCGACAGTAAAACCGTGGGTCTCTCCGGTAATAGTCTTGAGGAAGGTCGAACAACCGGACCCTGGGGGTCCAAGTACGACCAACATCTCACCAGCTTCCACCAAGCCATCAAGGTGTTGCAAGATATTGATCTTGCGACCTTTGTCGCCCATCATCTGGCGGACCAGTCCGGGTCCTTCAAGCCAGATGTTACCGACACTCTTTTGATAATCGGTGTCTGCCCCAAAACCATGGACGTTCAGGTCACGGAATGCAATACCAGCGGTGCGGATAGGAGGTGCTCCCTCATCTTGCTGTTGCAAGTTGAGCATAGCCTTGGTCCAAGCGCGAGCATTGAAGTTCTCCCCGAAGGGATCCAGGGCGGAGTTGGGCGCGGCATTGAAGGGGTTTTGTTGAGCTGCCACAGCTTGACTCTGGGTAGTCAGGGCTCTTGCGAGTTGGTGGACCTCCTCTTCTCTCCTGGCTGTCTCGAGTTCCTCATCGGCGGTCTGGTCGGCCATGTATGATGAGTCCTTGGGTTGCGGGCCTTCATTGCTCCTCGTGGAGCCATCGGCTTTTGCTGCTATTGTTGATGCATCTGATTCTGATTCGGGGTGGTTATCTCGAACGTGTCGCTCAAACGAACGGCCTTCCTGATCGTAGTTGGCGCCGTATGTCCCAGAGGGATTCATGATGGGCGGTTCTCGCCTCGGTGTTTGCTCTGTTGGCCTAGGTGAAAGAAGGGGATAGAGAAGGAGTATTAAAAGGACAATAGAAGGGCAGCTAACAACAGAGCGAACTTGGTTGATGAATTGACACCGCCAGGGCAGGAGGGGACCAGCAGATAAAGTCGAGGATTCAACGTCCGCCTTAGCAGTGACATTGGTCCATTGTCCGGCTGACACACGTCTCGGCTGGTGAACCGGAGACGGATGGGATCCCTGGCCGGTATCGTGCACACCCAATTCGGCAAGCGTCGAGTCCTCGGGTACGGGAACTGTTGCATATCCTCGCCATGACATACTACAGTGGTAAGTGTAAAGCCGCCTGCTTAGAGCACAGCATCCAATAGGGATCAAGTTTGCTTCTTCAAGCCACACGTTGTAGTAACTACCCTTGTCACGAAGTCTGTGATCTGATTCTTGTTGTACATACACAGTACGACCATGGTTCGATACATTGCAACTTGCAACAGGGACACGATTTCAAGGATGTTTTGACCAGCCAGAATGCAGGTGCAGTATCAGTACATCTTGCATGCTCTAGCCATCTGTTGCAGTGGTGTTACCATGAGTACTGTGGTAGGCAATCCTGCCTCTCGGATACGGCGGATACGGCGAATGCTGTGTATGGTAGAACGTGCCTGTTCCGGCCACAGATTGAGGGTTCTGTTAGAGGCATCCAGGTAAATCTGTCCGACACGACGGATGTACCATAGTGGCTGTCTTTTGCAAGCTGACCGCAGCTGTACCGTCTGTGATGTCACCGATGCCTCGTGCGGCTCTTTGCGTGGTGATTGATGCGAACAGAGGACGGGCGTGTCCAAGCATGGTCCTACAGCAGTGTGGCGTAGTCCGACAGGTACCGTACTGGTAACCAGCTCGACAAAGTAGATCATCCTCCGCTACCAGCGTAATGTCGGCCACTCGTTGTCCTCCACAGCAACCACTTCCCACCAGCAAACTTTCTCGAAACCCGTCCCTTTTGGCGGACGAAAAGCGCACATGTGTCCAGGGTGGTGGTGGATTGGCCCATGGCGCGTTAGCGAGCCTTCCGCTGCCGGCCCGCCCTGCGCGCTTATCGTCAATCCAAGCGCGGAACGGAAGCTGCAGGATCCGAGCAGCCTTGCACTTTACACTGCTGGTACCACCTACTATGTCTAACTCCCCTTTAGCCTTGCGCTGGCTCGGCCGTCCCTTCAAATGCTTCCGGCTCCCCCCTTACATGCAGACGAGTTTTTTCTCCGCCATTCCGCCAAGTGCCGGCCGAATTCCAAACTGCAGCATGGCCTTGGACAGCACTGTACAACGCATGTACATCTCGTCCGTTCCCGGCCGACCGAGCACCATCAATACCACACCCTGTACCGTATGCCCTGATGCACTACCAGTATGACCCTTACCTTTAGCCCATCGTCCACCACCTTTTTTCCGCCGCGGTAGTGTGAGATGCGGAAGATGATGCCACCTGGCTGTGTTCGCAGCCTGTAGATTCCGCTAGTACCGGTAGGTTTTCCAACGGTTTCTTGGCACGACTACCTACACAACGCAGTATCCTCCTAGAATCGTGTCCAGAATCTTGGCTCAGCCGTACTACTACTACCTCTACCACTCGATCTACTTATGGTGAAGTAGGTCTTGTCTGTACAGCAGCACGAACCAGGGCCTTTGTTACGCGAGTATGCTTTTCGGCTCCAGATTCCCCATCAACGCTTCGTGTCCAACTACGAATACCGCCTGAGTCCATATGAGCAAAATAACCTCTAGATCTGCTCTTCTGACGAAATAACCTTCGGCTAACCTCTGATGTAATCGAAAGCATGTCACTCCGCTCACTTGCATGGATGCTGAACTGCAAGATGCATATGCAGCACTTCACAGTACATAACAAAACAGTTCGCCCCAAGCCTGCGAGTAGGTACAAGTGCTTCCGAGTACGCTAACCCTACAATCATGCTCCAATCTCTCTCCGAGATCCTGGACACGGTGTAGGTATAACACTTGCAATAAAAAGCCACAAAGCTTACCTTTTCACCAAAACTTATCTCCCTGTCATCACGGCAACAAAAAAAAATGCTCATCTTACAAACTATCCAATGACTAACGTCGCCGAACATGCCCATTTCCCGCTGCGATTCCATGCCTTTGCGCTAAATGCCTTGATCCGAAAAAAAAATATGACATGTACACTGTCACACACAAGAACACACAAACACACACAAGAGTTTGCCAAAACATCTGGTATCGCCCCGACGGCCTCCAGATCCGAGAGACCAGGCCACATCCGTTCGCTATAAACGATGGTGCATCTCCATTCATCTGTAACTCCTCACTCAAACCCCCCCCCCTGCCTGACAAGATAAAGACTACCAGCGATTCAACACCCAATGCGCCAATTTCGGGGAAGCCAGCTAGGCCCCGAAATTTCTACAAGGCCGGTTCAGTAGGAATCTCCAAAGAACTGACTAGCCATGATGATGTCCTTGTCATTATTCGCAAAGTCCCATCCTACAATCGTCGGATCTTGACTACAGCAGATAATTCTACGAGCGTCGAATTGTAACTTGAAGACCCTGCTGTTAGTGCCTTGTGTATTGATTGGCGGTGCAAGCGGATGAGGCGCATGGTGGTGGTGATGATGGTGATGATGTGGTGCAGGGTTGATGGGTGCCCCCCCTTGCTGTGCAGTCGTCAAGGAACTTGTAGCTTGAAGAGGATTAGCGGGTATCTGAACGGCCGCGCTGGTGGCAGAAGCATTCGTCGCAGTGGAGGCAGCGGAGCTGTGGGCGGCCTGAGAGGCAACATGAAGGGCCTGTGCCTGTTGGGCGAGATTGTGAGCGGCTTGAGCTTGCACCTGGGCTTGTTGAGCAAGCGCTTGAAAGTTGCTGGGTTGTCCGGTGGCTGGCAGATTTGACGCAGGGTTGTTTGCCTGGTTGACTGCTGCGTTATTGGTTGCAGCTTGGGTAACAGGTCGTCGCGGGCGGCCTCCTGCTGCTCGAACAGCATCGTTCTGATACAGTGTCTTTGACTTTTCCCAGGCACCATCTGCTCCTCGTTTCCAGATGATGACGGTCTCATCGTAGGAGCCAGAGACAATTCTCGCCCATTTACTGCCTCCTCCACCAGGTGGTAGCTTGGCTCCATAAGCAAAAATAGCTCTCGGATCCCGGGAGCCGGCGTTGCGGGCGCGCCGTTGTGTACGTGATAAGTCTGAAGAGACTAGACCTCTACTTTGTGCTTCGAAGAAATTTCGATCGACAGCCCTGGCCTCGGCCTCGAGCTCTTCTTCGTTGCCAGGCAGATCTCCGAACTGGGCTTGCACGGTCCGTACAAGGTTGGTGTGACCATTTAGGCAGGCGACCTCAGCACCGGTAGCACGGTCAAAGATGCGTACAGTCTCGTCGGAGCTGCCACTGACTATCCGTCGACCATCAAATTGAACACAAGCTATGCCCTTGCTGTGTCCAGAGAATGTTCGCGTGCAGGCTCCGGTCCGAATATCCCAGACTTTAACGCTCCTGTCGCCGGAAGCAGAGACAATCTGTCCATCGAGAATTTGGATAGCGTTGACAGCTGCACCATGACCCTCCAGAGTCATAATCAGACTATACGGAAGCAGTGGCTTGAAGTGCAGGTGCTGCTTCTCCACTTGTTCCTGCATGTTGATGATGTAAGAAGGAAATCGAGCTCCAGACTTCACTGTAGACGAAGGGTAGTTATCATCCGTAGGCCACATCTCCTTGCGATTCCACACTTTGATCGTCTTATCCTTGGAGCAGGTGACGAGGAAGCGATCGTCGAACCTCAAATTCAACACCGATTCGGAATGAGCCTTTTCAATTTCCTTTACGATGCGTCCCGTTGAGAACTGCCATAGAATGACCCGGCAATCACTGCCACCTGAAACCACAATGTCCTGTTCAGGCCGCTCGTCAAATTGCAGGCACAAGACGGAAGCAGTGTGTCCAACGAGCGGTGCGTGTACGAGGCGCAAGTTTTCGAGATTCCATATGCGTATGGTCTTGTCTCGACTACCACTGACGAGGTATTTTCCAGAGTATTGAATCGTATACACACACTCCGTATGCGCTTCTTCCGGATGGTTCGGGTGTGGTAGCTGGAAATTGGAAAAGCGTCCGGCGTCCCAGTTGTCTTCCAGTCGCCTCTTGTGCTTGTAGAGGTATTGCCAGTTTATCTTGGGCTCTGGTCCTGGGAGCAGTAACGATGGCTGAACAGGCGGTCCTCTGAGATCGCCAAAAGCTGGTGTAGATTTCCGGGCGATTTCCGGGGACATGACTGCGGATGAAGTATCGTGAAAGGAAACATCCTCCATCTTGTCTTCCGTCTTGATCACAGGTCCCTCATCGGCCTCGACAGATCCATGTTGTTCTCCCCAGACAGATGCTGCAGACCCACTGATGGAGAGAGGCTCTAGCGTATTGAGTATACTGCTCTCTGACGAGAGGCCGTCACCGAAAAGTTGTCGCTCACGCACGCGCTTCTTAGAAGAGGGCTTGTCGTAGTCCATGTCTTCGGCAGCCCTGGGCCGCGTCTTACGCTCCTTTTCTTTGCATTCGGCACGCTTTTGCCTCTCTCCTTCCTCATATGCACGCACTTGGGGAAAATTGGAGTTCCAACCTTCGAGTCGGAATAATAGCTTCCATAATGGACTATCGAGGACCCGACTTCTCCAAGCTCGTGAGAGAGTAGATGCGCGCAACAGGGTTTCGGGGTTCAGATAGGAGAGGATCTGGAAGGTGATTTCGGGAGGGAGGTGTAACACAGGATCGAGGTGTAGGAGTGGGTTCAGCTTTTCGACTATGCCGGCTATGGAGGAGGTGCGAAGTGATCGCAGGATGGCATAGGCGAACTCTATACCGTTGTGAGTCAGCACTATTCGCGTCTGAGATTTCGACCCACTCACCGCTACGCTGGTGTTCCGTCAAATTCGAGACCCAGTCGGGCAGCTGAAAGGGAGATTCGGGTTCCAGGTCGCCGTCGCTGAACGGCACATCGGTCCGCATGACCTGATCGCTGCCACTCTGACTGCGCGTGTCCTCTGAGTAGCCTTCATCGAATCTGCTGAGACTCATGGAAGAAGCTGGGCGGAAAGGGTGCATATAGGGAGGTGGTTGAAACGGCGCGGGCGGGTTTCCGATGGAGCCTGCCATGTGTCGTGACCGCACGGCACGTGGTTTTGTGACAGTGCTGCTGCCTGGGAGGAGAGGGTTGGCGTGCAGGTGTGTACGGGGATGGGGCGATGCGCGCGGTATTTATTGGTTGGAAAGGACGTGTTGGGTAGTTTCTCTATGATCATGGACTGCGTGCCAGTCGTGAATCGTCTCAAGCTTGGGAAGTTGCTGTGTGTGTGTGTGTGTGTGTGTGTGTGTGTGTGTGTGTATGTGTATGTGTGGTCTACTCTCAGTCTCGGTCTCACCCGCATAGCCTCGAGAAAGTACCGTGGTAGGTAAGAGTTGATGTCGCTTGCAAGGGTCCGTGCGCACCGCGAACCCGCCGCCGCCTTGATGTCGACAGTGGGACTGGAAGAAGCTTGGAAGTTGCCCCCCCTTCCCCTTCGCCATGCCGCTACCCGTTCCTGCCTGACGTGCTGGGCCCATACATACACACACACACTCTCTCTCTCTCTCTCTCTCTCTCTCTCGCTCAACACTGACACGAAATGGACAACAGTATAGGAGTAATGACAGTACACGTCTGGTAACAGTGTGCTATAGGCACAGTATTTGCAAGTAGGTACCATGCACTAGGTAGGTAAAAGAAAAGAAAGCGCAGCACCGAGGCCCAATGGAGTCTCGAGTGTTGGCTGACCAGTCATGGCAGTTCTACTGTTATGTGGACCATGAGAAGCCAACAAGAGGAGCCAAGTTGTAGTCTATTTGCTGGTGAGGATATCAGACTCTGTACCTGTGCTTATGCCACGGGGGGAATATTGCCGTCAGTGTACCAAGCTTTGTTGATTTGTCTTTGTACAGGCACTGGCGTTGCTTGATAGTACCATCACTGTATGTCTAGCATGCCAGACCTGTCACTTGAGTCACTTGACCAGCCCAAGAGCTTGCATCCATGACCATGACCACGATGATTGATGATACACGACAGTTTACGATGATGGAGGCCCGGACCGACTAGGCCGAATAGGGTGTGGTGGAAGGAAAAGCTCCGGTTTGGCAGCGTGGGACCCCTGGCGGGCCAGCAGGAGTTGTGCTTGTGCCTCGCATCCGAAACAAGCCTTCCACCCAGTAGAGTAGAGTACATGCTATACTGCTGTGAGTGAGGCAGTCTCTGTAGAGTAGTACTCAGTGTCTACTATACTGTACATGGCTAGGGACATGTAATGCTTCCCCTAGCACGGCAAGATGTGTAAGAGGAATGAACAATGTGCCGCAGTGCCGCAGTGCCGAGCCAGTCGGTCCCATAGCTGGTGAGGGTGTCAGTGCCCAACGGAGAGGAGGGGGAAAGAAGGGGAGGACCACTGCCATGCCAAACAGCCGCGCAAACTGAGGCAGCGGCAACCTGTGGTCCCATGGATGTGGTGGGGAGGCGAGGGGGGGAAACGAGGAGGGTGCAGGTGCAGGTGCAGCGGCAATCCTTTTGTGTCAACGGCGCTCCCGTGCAACCTCATCTACTACATCCACCGTAACAGTAGAGGTGAAGTGCAAAACTGGAAAAGAAAACGAAAAAAGACTGTGTCGCCGTGCAAGATGTATATACAATCAATATACAAGCTCGTTTGTCTGCCCTCCACACCATGGACCCTCCCCGTCCTCTCCTATGTTTATCTCTCTCTCTCTCTCTCTCTCTCTCTCTCTGTATCTGTCTCTGCGACAGACATGCACTATTATTGTACATGGTTACCGTATACTGTAATGGGTAGAAATGGCCGACTAACATCACCATACTGCACATAACAAGGCGCGTGTCAGAGGAGACAGGCCTGCTTGGACTGAAGCAGACACACCCTGGCTTTGGTTCTTTGGCTTTCTGGCCTGTTGGCTCTCTCGTTGGTGTGCTGTGTGTGGTGTGTGTGCTGAAGAGTAGCTAGCTACCTACGCGCGTGCCCTGTCGCTGGTGGTTGGTGTCCTGTTCCCAGACGGCTTTTGTCCAGAGGGGGGGGGGGGAAGGGGGGTGGCCACACTGCACAGGGAGATGAGTGGCCCGCGGCGGCCACATGGGAGGGAGGGCTCAGGCCCTAGCTAGCTTTCCACTTGGGCATGGCGCGCGCTCCATACATACCTCGACATCGTCACCGTCTCTGTCCCCCCGTCGTCCACCTTCTCGCCGTCGCCTGCGTCTGCTGCGTCCCTTACACTCCCGCATGACGTCCAGCGCCGGGGCTCCAGCCCTCATGTCCCACCACCAGAGCTTCCAGAGCCAGTACTCGTCCTTCTCCCACAGCACTCTGCGCGACACGCAGAGCTCACAGGCCACAACCGCCTCGACCCTCTTCGCCCAAACCCAATCTCAAGCCCACGACCACGCCCACGACCACCCCGCCGCCCCCCTTCCCCCCACAACGCCCGTCACGTCTGGAGGCGGAGGCGGCGGCGGCGGCGGTAGCGGTGGCAGCGGAGGCCCTGTAGAGGCCAGCGACAATGTCCTCAACAAGCGCGCCGACAAGGACACGTCGCTGTTCCAACGCTGCCTGACGCTGCAGCTGCGTCTGCGTGCCATTCCGGGCTTCAACCGCTGGATGGCCGAGGAGGAGCTCAAGGCCGACGACGATGCCGACCCCGTCACCCTGCTCTGGCGCACCTTCCGCCGCGGCTATCCTCTAATGGAGCTCTACAACGCCCTCGGGCCCCGCCAACTGCTCAACGTGCCTAGCAGCAAGACGGACGAGAAAAGCCTCAAGAAGAATGAGAAGATGGCCACGTACAAGTTCATGGCGAGCTGCGTCGCCGAGCTGCACATCCCCCAGGAGAGCTGCTTCATCCTGGGCGACCTCTACGGCGACGACACGACAGGCTTTGTCAAAGTCATCAATGTCGTCAACCGCGTGCTGGATGAGCTCGTCGCTCAGGGCAAAATTGCGGGCGCCGCCGATACGTCTGACCCCATCGGCGGCCCGCAAACCAAGCGCACCCAGCGCGAGCACATCATCGACGAGCTCGTCAAGACCGAACGCACCTATGTCCAGCATCTCGAGCTGCTGCAGGAATTCAAGAAGCTCGTCGAAGAGAAGGGCGTCATCAGCGGCGACCAAGTCCACGACATCTTCCTCAATCTCAATGCCCTACTCGATTTCCAGCGCCGCTTCCTGATCCGGGTCGAGCAAACCAACGCCCAGCCACCCGAGGAACAGAATTGGGGCCACCTCTTTGTGCTGTACAAGGATGCGTTCAAAGTCTATGAGCCGTACATTGCAAATCAGCGCAAGTGTGAGCAGATCGCCATGCGCGAATTCGAAAAACTCAAGGAAACAGGAGGCCCACCTGAGATGCGGCAGATGGTCGAATCGCCCACTCTGCTAACCTCTTTTCTTTTGAAGCCCTTCCAGCGCCTGACCAAGTATCCCCTCCTGCTTCAGCAACTTCGAGATAAGGGTGACCTGGACGAGCAGAGAAGAGAGGACATCTCCAAGGGTATCGAGGCCGCCTCGTCTGTGCTTGCGGGCACAAATGATGCCATTGCCCGGGAAGAGCGTGTAGAAGCGGTCGAACAGCTCAAGATGCTGGTGGAAGATTGGAAAGGCCACCGCATCGAGGGCTTCGGAGAGCTGCTTTTGCACGGCCATCACACGGTACTCAAAGGCGAGAGCATGACTTCCAAAAACGAAGAACGAGAAGTAAGTGCCTGCCACCATCCGCTGGCTACCGAGGTGACATGTCACACGCACCAATATGCGTTCACACTAGTAGGTCTGTAACTGTACTAACAACCCCTCCAGTACAAGATCTACCTCTTTGAAATGATTCTCCTCTGTTGCAAGGAGATCAATATCAACAAGCCAAAGAATAAAATGTCGACGAGATCACTAGTCACCAAGGATGGCAAGCCCAAACTACAGCTCAAGGGACGCATATTCATGCAGAATGTCACCGAGACTATATCTCTGCAAAAGCCAGGTACGTGTGAACAGCCAGTGGTCTTCTTGAGAATCGCTGCTCATTAGCTTACAGGATCTTACACATGTCAAATCTTCTGGAAAGGGGATCCAGGAATTGAAAACTTCATCATTCGCTTCAACTCTGAGGAGACCATGAAGAAGTGGGCCACTCAAGTCGACACTCAAAGACGCGTATGGAAAGATCAAGCTCGATCTAGTGCTAGCACGACAGCGTCCAAGCCATCCGATACACAGTTTGCATACATGCGCGACCAAGTCCTAGAGAACCCCTACCAGGAAGACGATGAAGAGGATGGCGAAGAGGACGTGGATCCCATGTCTACTGGCTTCCCACGAGACAGCTATGGCAATCGACAGAACAGCTCCAGTGCCTCCATGCGGTCTCGATCTACGACTGGTGAAAGTGGCCCACCGGTAGGTGAACCTCCTGCCCGCTTCCCAATGGGAGGCCAACCACCTTTGACTTTACGCACTCAACAAATACAGGCTGCCGCTGGTCAAGAATCTTACTTTTCGCCAACTGTCGAGACACCCATGTCGGTGCACTCGAATGCGCGGACAAGCTCGCAATCAGCTGGCACCTTTCCCTTTCCACGCCAAAATCCACCGAATAGCTACTCACATGAGGAGAACAATCGGTACACTGCCCCAGCTCAGACCCGGGCTCACATGTCCCGTGGCGAGTCTGGCCAGTACCCCCAGGGAAGAGCCATGCAACGGCCATCGCTTCCGGCCAACACGACTCTATCCTCCAACGGCCGGTTACGGGCGGCTAGTAGCCCCGACATAAATTCAAATCTGCAAGTTCGCAAATCCAACGGACAGCAACCCCCCGTACCAGAGGTGCCTCCATTCCCGACGCACTATGCCTACAACGCGGCAATTGTCAATCGCAGCAACAGCAACTCACCCCAAGGCGTGCCTCCACCACGATCCGCAAGTCAGTCGCCGGCGATACAGCGAGACCGCTTGATCCAGCAGCGCACTGCCGCCGAGCTGGCAAACACGAACAATGAATATTATGGCGGCGCTCCACGACGTGATCTCAGCCATGCACCGATGAACCGCACCATGACGCCTGCCTCCTCCTTTGAGCGAAGCCAGGGTACGCTGACACCAGCTTCCATGGAGTCAAGGAATATGTCCCCACCACTGTCGCAGGATGCAAACATCCCAGCCCAGTTGAAGGTCAAGGTACACTGTCCATCTGCAGGCAGTTCCATGGTTTTGGTTGTCAGCACCAATATCAGCTTCCAATCACTCAAGGATCGAATCGACGCCAAACTTCAACGGTCCACATCCGTATCCCTTGGCTCCGGGCAGGTAAAGCTGAAATACCTCGACAGCGAAGGGACTTACGTCAGTATCCAATGTGACGATGACGTGCAAGAGGCTTTTGAGAACTGGAAGGAGCAACAACGAGACCTCAACCCCGGCGGAGGCCTGGGCGAAATTGAGCTTTTCTGCCAACGATGATTTGTGATGTTTGCTGCATTGTTGGTTTCACTTGGCATGGACACGGCGTTGACAAGGCGCAAGACGATGGGTACGGTTCCTCCCCAATCCCTTTTTTTCCTTTCCTTCTGCAAACATGTTTTGGCGACTGGACTATAGTATACCATATTCTACAAAGACCTGGTCGATTTTGTACCCTGGGGTCGGCGAGGCTGGTGTACACGTCGGTTCCCCCCCCCCCCAGATATTCTTAACCCACGGCCCTTCAGTGGGGCGTTAGTTTTATTTCGCTTCAAGGGGTGATTAGTTGTTTGAGGATATACGCTTTTTTTTGGTGGTACGAAGGAGGGGTGAATGACTTGATGATGGGATGAAATGTTTATTTATGCACAGTATGCTCTCGAACATGGCGCAAGATCGAGAGGATGAGGATGCGTGTTTTACTTTGGAATAGCGAATAGAAATCTACTTGTTTGACTAGCACCATGAAAGAGGATTTTGGCCATCTTTTGGGTCCTTCCATTCCCCTACCTCTTGGGATGGTGACTGGATACTTTTGTACATTTCCTGCCGTGAAGTAACAGCCAAGTACGATGGGAGCATCTGTCTGGTACCGTACACTTGCAAGAGCATAAAAAGCAATAGCCAATGCTTGTACACACCGTATCAAAATTGCCCTATTCGGCAAGTCCCTCGCACGCCCCAAACATCCATCGATCACCTGTGCCCCTCCATCGCGCATAATTCCCGGCCATGAGAGCCCACCCCCCTACCTCTCCTCTCCTCTCCTCTCCTCTCCTCTCCTCTCCTCTCCTCTCCTCTCCTCTCCTCTCCTCTCCTCTCCCATCTATCGCAACAAGTACTGCTCTCCACACCGTCAACTCATCACCTTGCAGCACTAACTCTCACAGCCACCAATGACCGCACACCACTAATCCCTATCCAAGCCGGTGCTGGGTGTGGGCTGCCGTGCACGAGCAAGAGTAGGGTGCCTATGGTAGCCTCGTGACGTTCCTTTTCCACGTGATCGACTGTCGATCGACTTTTCTCAGCACAGAGCAAGCATACCCACCGCCTACCCACTCATCCACCCACCCACCTACCCGCTCATGGCATAGGCATAGATATACCTCGCCGGGTGCTGCCGCTGTCTGGCGCTGCTGCTGCATTGGACTGTTCTGCGATTGGCGTAAGGCTTCGCAGCTGGCTCGTGAACGTCTGGCTCCAAGATCCATTTTGCCAAATATCCTACCCAATCTCCTCGTTCGTTTCTGTCGATAATCATCCATTTTCAACCGTCTCGCAGTGAGCAAGCCCCGTCATGAGATTCCTCAAAAACCCTATACCGCGACTGCGAACCAATCTTCATCACAATGTCCAAATCTTCCGGTTACAGCCTCTTGCCGAGTTGTCCGGCTCGCTGGGGGATCTTGGGACTTTGCTTCCACTCATGACCGCGCTGGTGATTACCAAGTCTATTTCACTGCCGTCCACGCTGCTCTTCACGGGAGCGGCCAATGTGTTTACCGGTATCGCGTTTGGCCTTCCTTTGCCAGTTCAGCCCATGAAAGCTATCGCGGCGGTGGCAATAGCCCGCGAGTTCACCATGGAAGAGAATGTTGCTGCTGGACTGGTTGTGGCGGGGATTGTAGGCGTGTTGAGTATCACCGGCTTGATCAATTGGACTGATCGCATAACGCCTGTTCCCGTAGTAAAAGGTATACAGGTCGGTGCAGGACTGTCCTTGTGTCTCAGCGCGGGCTCGAGCATGCTTATGCCATTGACCTGGACAGGCCCCTGGTGGGGCGACAACTTCATGTGGCTTGTTGCTGCCGTGGTTCTACTACTACTCACATTCCTATATCCTCGAGTCCCATATGCCCTGCTCGTCTTCTCAATAGGCATCCTGCTTTCCCTGCTCGCCCCACGAGACGACAATGTCACTCTACCCAGCCCCTCACCCTCGGACCCTACCATCCCAACCCTCATCCCTTCTCTACACGACTTCTGGATCTCAACAACCACCGCCTCCCTCGGCCAAGTCCCCCTCACTCTCCTCAACTCAGTCATCGCCGCCTCCGCACTCTCCTCAGATCTACTCCCCTCACCCCCTTACCCCACCGCCCCAACCGTAACCCAACTCGGCCTCTCAGTCACCACCATCAATCTCCTCGGCTGCTGGTTTGGCGCCATGCCCTCCTGCCACGGCTCCGGCGGTCTAGCAGGCCAATTCCGCTTCGGCGCCCGCAGCGGCTCCAGCATCATCTTCCTCGGCTCCATCAAATTCGCTCTCGGCATCCTCGCCTTTTGGCACTCCGCCACCATAATCGATGTCCTGCACCACATGCCCCGCTCCCTCCTCGGCATCCTCGTCATCGCCGCCGGTGTCGAGCTCGCCAAGGTCGGGGAGAGCGTCAATACAGATGCCCGGGATCTCCGCGTCCTCGAGAGCGGCAATGGCAGTGGCAGTGACAGCGGCAGTGGTGAATGCGGTGGGGTTTGGGATGGGAAACAGGTCAAGCAGCTGGATGAGCGGATGAGGAAGGAGCGCTGGATGGTCATGCTGGTTACGATCGTAGCATTATTAACGTTTCGCAACGATGCGGTCGGGTTTGTGGCGGGCTTGGTTTGGCATTGGGCGTTTGAAGGGGTGAGGAGGGTGGAGGCGTGGAGGGAGAGGAGGGACGGCAGGCCGTTTTGGAGGCGGGTGGAGCATAGTGGAAGGGAGAGTATGAGGTTGTTGGCGCATGAGGAGAGTGATACGTTGGCTTGAGAGACGTGGGTTTGGTATTTATAAATAATAAATGTTAATCTACGCAGACTTGGCTTTGTATCTTTTTCAAGTCTACCGTATCTCATCAACGCAGTGCAAATCAGGAAAACTTGACACTCATCATTGTCCCCTGCAGCAGACACAACCTGTATAAAACCCAGCATCAGCATGCGCGATTAGAGAAAAGAAAAAGGCTTAATAGGAGTGTGTGGACAGTGTATCTGGGTGTGATATAAAGGATATATGCACAATACCATCCCTCAACTCGGCAGACATTCCCTTCTAAGCGGGGAAAACGCGCTAGTGCACATGTGGTGAAAGTGGGATAGTAGTGGTGGTGGGGGGGCATGGCGGGGCAAGTTGCGACGACGTCAAAGGAGGGAGCCGATCCACATGTCGGGCCCGGATTTGTGTGGCAGCGGAGTGCAGTCGTCCGAGGCGGTGTTGTTTAAAGAGTGGCTGTTTTTCTTTTCCGCAGAGGGGGAGAAGGGGGAATTGGACTTGGACTTGCACTTGAATCTGGATTTACGAGAGAGGAAGAGAGGGGTATACCACCGTACTGACGTTTTTGCCCTCTTTTTGATTTGTCGCTTTGGAGATTCCGGTCAGAAAGAGAAAGAGAGAGTTGGGTCTGGTTTTTTTGCGGGGAAGTCGACGATATTGCTAGCGTTTTTGTTTTGAGGACTGTTGGGAAGATGCCTGAGAATACAGAGGACCGCGCCGCACTGGTGAATCGCCAGTTGCCGGAGATGACACTGTCGACGGCGGAGAACCCTTTGACTGCGCCTCAGCCGCCGCCAGAGAACTTGTCGTCTGCGCAGCGAGCGCAGTATAGGTTCCAGGTCAAAGGGAATGCGATTAGTACGTGATAGCCTGAAAGGGTATACACATGAGCCACCCTTTACAACCCCTTCTCCCTTTGCCAATCTCACGAGGAGCTCTGAGCAAAGCTGACAAAAGAACCCCCAGTTACCGGCGGAGCAGGAACGCTCGCCCTCGAAGCCGCCCTCGCCCTCCTCGAACACGGTGCCTCAGGCCTCGCGCTCTGGGACAAGAACCCAGAGCAAGCCTTCAACAGCATCAAGCAGCTGCACGCCAAATTCCCCGACCGGCGCATCATCACCGAGGCCGTCGACGTGCGGGACGAAAAACAGATTGCATCTGCAGTGGATAGCACCGTCAAGGTCCTAGGCAGCGTCGACATGCTCTGCTGTTTCGCCGGCGTAGTAGGCTGCACACACGCGATTGAAATGGCAGCCGAGGAATGGCGTCGCACACACGACATCAATCTAACGGGCTCCTTCCTATGCGCACAAGCAGTCGCGCGCCAGCTACGGCAGCAGGGCACAGGCGGCAGCATCGTCTTCACAGCCTCCATCTCCGCGCACCATACAAACTACCCGCAGCCACAGGCGGCATACAATTCCTCCAAGACGGCGCTGCTGTCGCTTGCCAAGAGTCTAGCGGCCGAGTGGAGTAGCTATGGCATTCGTGTCAATTGTTTGAGCCCGGGGTACATGGACACGATTCTGAATGATGGCGAGGGGTTGAAGCGGGCGCGGGCTTCGTGGAATGCGAGGAACCCAATGGGCAGGATGGGTCATCCTTGGGAGTTGACGGGGCCGTTGATCACACTGTGCAGTAATGCTGGACGCTACATCAACGGTACCGACATCATTGTTGACGGAGGAGCTATGGTGTTCTGATTGGATTGGGGTAGGCACCCAGTGGTAGTTCGGCTTTTTGGCTTATTCAGCTGCTTTAGCGAAATGCACAAAATCACATTGCAGTCCCCCCCACCCAGATTCTGTCCTCCCTTGCTCCTTTTGTATATCTCTTGTCACTTTTTGGTCCAGCAACACGGGCTTTGCAGCCGCTCTTGAAGTCGAGAAATCAACTTTGAGTGCGGCTGCCTGTGGATTTATCATCAATCTCACGTCCAAGGGCGATATTGATCAACCTGCCCAGTGCAGACTAACAGTTCCTTGCATTGCATTCCGGCTGCCATATTCAGATGATTGAAAACTTGATAGCTGAGAAATCAATACAACATTTGTTGCCTCAAACTTCATCCATGGGCGCTCTCATTCTCCGTGTTGATCTGATCGTCCAGCCTTCACATCTTCAGTCGTCCTCGACAGGTGGTGGCAAAGGGATACTAAAGTCTTCCAAGCTCATACCGTATTGACTAGATCGGAGAAGATCCTGTGTGCGTCCATGCACCGGACTACTCCACTCCTGCATTCCCGCTTTGGCAGGACTGGGAAAACTGCTTGGGATAAACAACGGTGGCGGTTTACTGGGCGAGATGATGGGCTGTGAGCTTGCGATCCGGCGTGGCGTTGTATTCGCACTTAACATTTCCTGTGTCCTGTTTCTCTTCGGTGTCCTTTGTGTGACTTCATCAACGGTTGTGGCCTGGCTTGGAGGATGTGCTGCTGAAGGTTTTCGCGGCGCGTTCTTCTGCTGAAGCGATTGGGTGATGCTGTAGCTCAATGGGTCGTGTACTACAAACATAGATGAGGATTTGGGCGGCTGAGTGTTGACATACTGCGAGTACGAAAACCATTCACTTTGGAGTTGGTGTTCGGCTTTGCTAGAGTGGGACTGCTGGCTCTCCTGCTGTACAGGAGGTGATCTGGGCACCTGTACGGGCTCGCCGTCAAGATCAACAGTCTCCTGAACGGCAGCAGGATTGGGTTGTAAGACATCTTGGGTACTTTGACGCAGTGGAGTAGGATCCTCGTCTTGATCCGCATCTGACGAATCGTCTTGTATCACCATTGGTGTGGAAGGAATCATCTCCTGTTCATTTGATCCATTGGAAGGTGGCGTCGAATGAAGACACTCTACAGGGCTTGGAAGCGGTGTCTCAATGCTCCCCACAGTAGATTCATCCAATTCTTGATCATGAGTCTGTAAATTCGGGGTGGTAGGTGTGTCGTCGTTGTGATCATTCATTGAGTGTTGTATATTCCCAGGTGCCCGTTCTCGAATGTAGCTCTGAGTGGCATTCGCACATGTGTGTGCCTCGCCAAGTTCGGGAGATTGTTCAGTACAACGGTCCATAGTATGCGATGATGGTACATCTTCTTCAATCCCATCGTCTGAGTCCTCTGAGTCCTGGATCGTACTCTCAAATTTCTTCAAAGCAGATACTGATGGATCTTTGAACGTGACTCGCTTGCGCTTGGAAGGCGTGTCTTGTGAAACTAACAAATTACCTGAAGCCTCCTGCAGGGGTGACCTACATAACTTCTGCGGCGAGACCTGGGTCGAAAGCGGAGACTCTGCAGGTGATTGTGATGATGGTATCTCCCGAATACGCCTCTTCTCGGGAGTGTTCAGCAAGCTGAATCTCGGCTTTCGTATGCCTTGAGCCTTGGGCGATATCATGACCGCTGCAATTTCGCCAGCATGTTCCGTATTTGTGCTCAGTCGGGCCACTCGTCCCGGTCTAGAGCTTGGAGCATCAATGTATTGCGTAGGCCGATAGCTTTCTTCTTCAGCATCACTCGTTGCATCTTCAATAGACTCTACCACAACAGTAGGGAATTCAGCCTCATCCTCTTCCAACCCGTTGGTGTGTTGCTGCACGGGTTCTGCTTCGGGTTCGACATTCACACCAAGATCAGCGGCCAGAACATCTCCTTGAACTGCCAAGCGTTGCGCTACAGCCATGTCGTAGGCTTGACTATCACTGTCCTGCGATTCAGAATCGCTCAGTACCTGCTCCATATCCTCATCGGACATGATTTCCAGAGGCCGCATTCCCGGTATCATCTGCGTCAAAGTCCGCTGCTGCTTGTCTTTGCCCTTGCCTCGACCTTTTCCACCCCAACTGAGCCGTGGAGTCCGTTTGAACGGCTTGAAGTCCGGCTCCTCCGTGTCTGATAAAGGTCTCCGACCCTCTATAAGTTGAGTCATGGTTGATTGTCTCCTCAAGGTACGCTCCGTCTTTACTGTGGCTGTGGTCCGTCGACGTTTGGACGTTGATGGGCCCGGCTTCTCCTTGTCGCTCTCCGTCTCGAGGCCAACATCACTGCCCCGCTTTCTGTCCTTAGGCTCTTGCTTCATTGATGTATGCCCATGCCCAGCTTGTTCTTCTCTTACTTTGCTTCGGACTTGCACATGCTCATCTTCAGTCTCTTCATCCGAATCTCTGACAGTCCTTGCAGACCGAACCTTCATCTTGTCTGGCAAAAAGACCATCTGCCGCTTACTCAAATCTCCTCGTGGAGGTGACGACGGACGACGCACCGTCTTCCGCCTGTGAGGGAAGTGGGCCTGTTGCGGGACCTTGTTCGAATAATACACCTTGAAGTCAACATCTCGATTACCAGATCGTGTCTGCGGCGTCATGCTTGGGTGCGACGAAGTGCCATTCGGCATTGCCAGCAGAAAGGGTGCACACTTTGTGTGTGAAAGACGCGACGCGTCAAGGCTAGCGCGTAAAGTGGCCTCGCAAGGAATACGGTACTGGCAGGGTCGTGCGTCACTCTTTCGTGCAGGTGCGGCTACATAGACACAGCCTTTTGCGCTCGCTCTGTGACAACATCATGGAATGTCACTATCACTACTATGCTCCCGAATACATAACAGTCAGAATACAGCTACATAGTCCTAATTCCACTGATGGGTACCTACAGCCATGTACCACGTTCCCAAGACAGCATCTGAACCGAGTCCGAAACACACGAAGACAAACCCTGCAGAGGAAATAGGCCTCACACGACCATGCGCTCCAACCGCTATTCATCCTGCCCCATCCAAATCAAACCAACAACCCCGCACACCACCACCACCTTTCGCCATATCTGCATCACCCATCACCCGCAAAGGAGGGATCCTCATCCATGGCCGATCGGCCCGTTAGTGCTACTACATTCAGGGGCTAGTCCGAACTGTTCCACCCAACCCATTTGCCAGCGCGAGCAATTAGGCCGGTCGACATGTGAACCGTGGTCGGCTAAGCACTGTGTGTGTGTGTGTCCCTTGGAAGTGGGAGCGCTGCAAGGCCACAGAGTACTACCATGTGCTGTGTGTGTGTTATGTATGCCTGAGGCTGTATGATAAGCCGCGACCTACCCTTTCCCCATTGCTTTCTATCACACTGTTCTACCAATCTTTACTTGTATGTCTCGGCGTTGTGTGTCGTACTCATCGCCTGTTGTCCTTGTTGGTTCGGTGTAGGTACCCCCGCCAGCAACGAATTAACAATAGCAGGGAGGAACACAAACGTGGCGTCACCTCGAAGTAAACTAGGATCAAGCAGAGCGCTCCGTGGGTCACCATGGACAATATCACGCATACGCAGAGTAATGATGGCATGTTGAAGCATGCGGCGCGTATTGATCAGGAGATTATGCCTACAGAGTCGTCAGCTTCTGCTGTCCAGGCCAACGGTGGAGACGAAGGGCAAGTGCAAGTGCGCGACGAAGGTGGAGGTCGGAGACTTTTGGGTCGTAAGAGGAAGAGCTACAGTCATGCGCATTTCAAAGTGTATAAGAGACGGTGGTTTGGTCTAGCACAGTTGGTCTTGTTAAACATTGTCGTGAGTTGGGATGTATGTATCACCATTCCCCATCTCTTGTCTATCTGGAGGGATGCTTTACAACGAAACCATCCAAGAATCCACATACATCACACACGACTAACGCAAACATGATTCAGTGGTTAACATTCGCTCCCATGTCCACAACCGCAGCAGCGTATTACCGCACCACCGAGACGGCGATAAACTGGCTCTCCACCGGCTTCCTCTTCGCCTTTGTAGTCGCATGCCCACTCACCATCTACGTCTTGCACCGCGGGCCCAAAGACAGCATCATCGCCGCCTCTGTTCTCCTCCTCCTCGGAAACTGGATTCGCTACGCCGGCACCAAAGCCAACGGCGGCATCTTTGGCGTCGTCATGTTCGGACAAATCCTAACCGGTCTCGCACAACCCTTTGTCCTCGCCGCACCCACACGATACAGCGACATGTGGTTTACCGAACGGGGACGCGTGGGAGCCACGGCGTTGGCGACTCTGGCGAATCCCTTTGGCGGTGCTGTACGTATTCCATCCGTGCCTTCTTTTCTCTTCACAGGCTCGTTCCTATACTAACGAATTCCCCCTTAGCTCGCCCAACTCATAAACCCTTTACTGGGCTCTATTCCCCAAGTGGTACTTGTCGTATCTATAATCGCATCCGTCGCCTGCATCCCCTCGATTTTCATCCCCGCTGCTCCCCCCACACCCCCAACCTCCTCCTCGGGCCTCTCCAAAACCCCAATCACCGAATCCCTGAAAATCATGCTACGCTCTCCCTCCTTCTACGTCATATTCTTGGCATTCAGCACCTACACTGCCTGCTTCAATGCCTTCTCCAGCCTGCTTAACCAAATCCTGTATCCCTATGGTTTTACCGAGGACGAAGCCGGCATCTGCGGCGCCATCTTAATCGTGGTCGGTCTTGTTACTGCGGCAGTCACGTCCCCGATTCTAGATCGAACACATGCCTATCTTTTGGGCATCAAGATTCTGTGTCCCTTGGTTGCCTTTAGCTATCTTGCTATGATATGGGCGCCGCAAACACGGACACTGGTCGCACCATACCTGATTAGCGCGGTACTGGGTGCAAGTTCCTTTAGTTTGCTTCCCGTGGCCTTGGAGTATCTAGTGGAGATTACATTTCCGGCAAGTCCCGAAGTGAGCTCGACCATTTGCTGGGTGGGTGGTCAGCTGTTGGGTGCCATCTTCATTGTTATTATGAACGCGATGAAGGATGAAAGACCGGTAGATCTGGACATAGTCAGTGACAGTGGGCGTGGTAGTGGAGGTGGAACCAGGCCACCAGGAAACATGTTTAATGCCCTTGTTTTCCAGGCGGTTGTAGGGCTTGCTGTTTTGCCCTTGCCGCTGATGTTGGGTGTGAAGAGATTTGGACTTGCGCAAGGAGAGGGCCGGTTAAAGCTTGATGAGCATAGGAACGAGGAGGGTGTGCTGGAGGGGACCGCGGACGGTCATGAGCAATGACTCCTAGGGGAGCTTGATTTTGATTCTGACGTTGATTCTGATGAGAGCTCCCTAGCGTAATCTTGGTTATCGCAATTGCAGGCTCTCTTCCGGCCCTCTTGCGGGGAAAAGACATGTGTGTGTCATGTCAGTAGCAAAGTCTGGCAGCGGGAAATAGTACAATTGATATTCTAAACATGAGTCTCATATTTACAGTCATCCATGACGTGTCTTTATTGTTTCCCTGATCCAAGGCCGCCTCCCACGTTTGACTCGTTGGTGTGGACCGTGAAGAGGATGGATCCGATTGGTCGTACGGGGGCGTTTACTTGAGTTGAGCAAAGAGCTTGGGTGCGGCGCATTGGGTCGCGCAGTGGGCGAGATGGAAAACTAGTACAGGTCAGCACCAAGAAAAGTTGTCGTCAAGGGGGAGGGGTGAGTGGGTATGTCGCACATTCTTCGACGCAGTCCTCACTGGCCTTGCCATCCTTCTCGATCTGGCCCGTGACGCGCTCGACGCACTCATCGTAATGGTGCTTGGGGCCATGGCACTGCTTTGACTCGGCGCATTCTGTGATGGAGCGTTAGCCATGCTTGCTGTTGTGATGATCTTGAAGACTCAATAGTCGAAATGAGGGGCGCTACTGGGAAATGGATCGATAATGCTTCGGTCCATGTTGCATGCTGGAGGCACACGATCATCCCAGCAACACTTCAAATCATTTATCAAGGTCCTCATAATTCTAGGCCAGACTCACCCTTCTCGAGCTTCTCCTTTGGGTCAGGCTCTTCCTCTTCCTCCTCTTCCTCCTCCTCGGGCTCTTCGCTATCCCCGCCATCATCGCTGCTAGGCTTATGTCCTTGTTCCTGGGACTCTCCGCCCTTCTTCTGGTCCTGCTTGTTCACCTCGGCCTCCTCGCTTGACTCCTCGTCGGTGCCGGATGCAGGCGACTTGGTGGAGGTGCCGCCCTGTGGTGGAGCCTCGGCATCGGCTGAGGGGTGGGCGAATGTCTCCCAGGCGTCGGTGAAGAAGTCGGTGAAACCCATGGTGAATGCTCCGGGGCAATTGGGCGGTATGGGGCGACGGGAGGTGGTGTGGACAGAGGTTGGTGGACGGAAGCTTGCGAAAGGCGCAGGCCGGCATCACGAAAATGAGGGCCAAGAAATGGCTAGTGTCATCCGAATCGCTCGCGTCTCAGTGGTCCCCGGCGTCGTCATGAAAGCATGCCTTGGGACGCCCAACCCAACATATGTATCTTGACACGGTTGCATGTATTCACTCTGGAAAGTACAAATCATACAAATCGCTCATTCGATTAATCCAACAGAGAATCGGTGATGATTTCTGTTTGGACTACAATTGACTCGGCTACGACTGATTTCGATGCCTCGCAAATGCTTCCCCTACACTAACGCCCTGCTGCACATCCGCAATCACCTTCTCATCAGCGCCCACCAGCTTAGGTAGAAGCTCAAGCAGCTCTTCTACCTTACTTAGAGGCACTGCGACCACGCCGTTCTCCTCTGGATCTATCATCACAATGTCGCCCGCCTCCACAACCGTCTCGCCAATCTTTACAGGTACATTGCGAGCGTGGAACTTGGTCTCTGCCCCTGCGCCGATGATGGATGTTCCTTTGGACCAGATGGGCAGCTGTGTCGCATTCAGAGCGGCTAGGTCTCTCACTCTGCCATCCACGACGAGACCTTCAGCGCCTAGGTACTTGATGCGAGCTGCCATGATGCCTCCTACCACGGCGCATGACTGGCCAGCGGGCTGGCTGATGACTATGATTGTACCCTTCTCCGTATAGTCTGCATAGGGTCTCCCGTCTGTCAGATTAGATGGCGGATAGTCTTCCTGTACAGGTGCCACATTGGGAAATGACTTTGTGGACTTGGGGATCATAAGGAAGGTTGATGCAGGCGCAAGCACCTTTCTAGATCCAAGGCTCGAGACATTGGTCATTGGCTGCAGAGGCTCTACACATTATCAGATGGGGTCACGACAGGATTCCATTGATTGCTTTGACATACTAATATTGGGGAGAAAGCCAGCACCGGGGACATGAAGTTTGAGTAGTCCATCAGCAAGCTAGTTCTGGTCAGCGCGCTGCGTGCGTTACCCGTTGGCGTGTTGCTGGACATACATCGCAAGCAGCGTACTTGTACAGCTCTTTCCATCTTGGAGACGCCATGATGCCACTGTAAGAGGTTCGATTCACCTTGACTTAACGCTCCACGTCACCGGTACTAGCTAGTGGTACTTGAGCCAGCAGATGTTGAGGTAGCCCACCGCACTCCCCGCTAGGCCGAGGTCTCCGCAGCATCTCCGAAGGATGCTCATGGTCCCACTAGGTATGGTACTTGTCTTTACTCAACACATCTGAAACCCTTCAGAATCCTCCCAGACCCAACGGTTTGTGGCCGGGAAATTTACAGAAAACGGTGGTCGTGAATGTCCACTCTTCTTGGTTTGGACGAGTTACACAGACTGTCGCCATATGCACAGTATCCACAGTACGTGAAATGGCAATGCCACTGAAGAGGCAAGCATGGGGGCCAAAACCCACTGGCAGGGGGTGGGACCGCATTTTCCCAAAAGCAGACAAGATATATTGCAATGCCTACAAGATTGATTCTCTGTGATTTCAAGCAGCTGTCCACACCTGATACCCGATGGTTGTCGCTGAGGTCCTGAGTGCCCTTGGCTCCCCAGCGAGGGTTGGAGCGCGTATCTTGCTGGTGCCTCGATACTCGCTCAACAGCTTCAATCTCGTTCGTTCATGGCCGCAGAACAGGTATGCGCGCCATCGTTATGGGCCCTCGTATCACTGGCGGTGCTGGCTGCTTTTCGACATTCGGGATTTGGAGCACCTGGAGCATCTCATCAATGCAGGCTCGGATGAGGATCTCGTGAAGATGAGGAACGCAAAGTTGGAGTCATTTAGGCTTATTGCAGTAGTGGTGCGTACCTATCCTTTCCGATCATGAAATTTGAGTTTGCAGACTAAGAGAACATGTGCCTACAGGGTGCACTCGTTGCCTCTGTTGCCCTTCAAGCCCTGAGCCTTCCCCGGGTCACTTCGACAGACTTCATCGTCCGTGGCGCCTTGACTACCTGTCTCATGCTCTCCATCCTTGCCACCTTCTTCATCTGTCTCCAGCAGCGCGAACTTAGCGCAGTCGAGGACGTCCCAGCCCTCCGCGCCTGGCTATCTAACGGCAAACTTTACACCAACGCAGACGATGCCATGGCTTACCAGAGCTCGCTAGCTGCCCTGACGCTGCTGAACAGTCCCTACGAATATCTTGGGATTGCGGTCACCAATTTCCTAGTTGGTGTGGCGGCGTATATGGCGGGTGCGTGGTTGGATGACCGGGAGCTGCACACCGACAGAGACGGCATGTTGAAAGAGGCTGCTGTGCTGGTGTATTTTGGCGTTGGGACGTTGTTTGCCATGACCATGTTTCCTATGCTACTTGGGATGAAGGACCGGGAGAGTCGGGGGGTTGGACAGGCGTTGCCGGGATGCATGAGAGCTTATCAAGAGGTACAAGAGAGTAGATATGGAGGGGACTCAAGGGGGCAAGAGGCATGTCGACGAGACTAACGGCGGTGCCTAAAGCATGGGGTAGTCTGAGACAATCGAGGGGTGCCTATGCCAGTATCCGTGGTGCATGTGTAGCAGCAGCACTGCCAATCTATCAATACAGTTCTAGGAGAGCTGGAAAGGTTGGGAAGTGTATTAACAGGGTATGGGAAACCATGACCAGTGCAG